GCGAGTCCCTTGGACTGCAAGGTGATCAAACCAGTCAGTCCTAGAGGAGATCAACCCTGACTGCTGTTTAGAAGGCCAGATCTTCTGGAGTGTTGGTATTCCTGTCCATTTGGTCTTGTCTGCAAATTTGATGAGGTCCCCTTCTATCCCCTTGTCTAAATCATTGATGAAGATGAACAGATCTTGCGAATTCTCCAGTTCTCTTCTTTTTTTCTGTCTTCAGGAGAGTTTTGTGTCCTTCGAGGAGGTGGCTGTGTATTTCTCTGAGGAGGAATGGTCTCAGCTGGATCCTGACCAGAAAGCGCTGCATTCAGAAGCCATGCTTGAAAACCATAGGAACATGGTCTGTTTCGGTAAGAGTTTTCTAGTCCCCAATCAGACAGTTCAAGAAGAAAGATTATACATAATTATTTATTTAAAAATCACTGACCAGATATCGTCTCCTGGGAGGGAGAAGGAAAGGATCTGGCCTTGTTGTGCTCCAAGGAAGGAAAGAGTCAATGTCTCTTTGCTTACATGCTTTCTTTGCCATTTCTTATCTCTATTTTTTCCATTTCTATTTGAACTTATCTATGAAGGCTGAAAAGAACGAGGTGTGTTTTTATGTCTCCTCTGGAGATCATGTGAGAGGAGTGTGTTGTCATTTGTCCTCTGAAACCTCCAAAATTGTGTCACAACAGAACCTTTACACTCCGGCCATGGAAGAGAATTCCCAATAAAATTCAAGGACAAAGGCTCCGTGCAGTGTGACTCAGAGCATCCTAGGCTACAGGTAATCCCTGAGTTACGACGGTTCACTTAGCAGCTGTTTCAAGTTATGACCAGCCCTCCCCCAAGTACTTGAGACCCAGTCCCAAAATTATGAGTGTTGCAGCACCGTGAGCGTCGTTCACACTTACGAATGACAGCAGAGGTGCTGCAACATTTTTCCTATCTATTCCCCCACCCCAACCCGCCAAGACATATTTTTCAGACTATTAGACATACTTTTCCACCTTAAAAAGTGGGTGGAAATGTCTGAGTGTATAAGAATATGGGCCTGTTTTTGGCCTTCCAAGACTCCCTACGTCCCGTTTGTGGCCTCCTTGGTGTCCACTCTTCCGCAGCTTCCTTTCAGGGTCTCCTTTTCATTTGGAGGGGGGAGAGGGAAGGTGTGGAGGCCGGATATACTGCCCCCAGGGACACTGGGACTCCTTGACCCTCCATCCCCCCCTCCAGTGTCTCCTGCTCAGCAGAGCCCCCCCCATTCAGAACCATGGCTGCAAACATCCACCTGACAGCCACTTTGCCCGAAATCTGCCTGGATTAAGACTGGTTAAAACTGAAAGCCACCAGATCCAGAAAGATCCTAGATGCTCTGCATGCTGATATCCCCCATTCCTGAGAGGAGATCTCAGGGACCTAGGGCTCTCTGCCCAGCAGAGTCTCAACTCTTTCCCCCTTCCATGGATCCCCCTGGATTCTCTATCTCTTCTCCCTGCTTGAAACCCACAGCAGCTTCATTTTCATTTCTGTTCTCCTCCCAGTCAGTTTCTTTCGCTTTTATTTGAATAAAAGAATAGACTTTGGATTGGAGGAAACCCTGGAATGAGCTGACTGAATGCTGTCCGAAGAGTCTCAGCTCCAGATTCTGTCCAGCTCAAATAAATTGCCCCCATCCCTGAATTCCGGATGCTCAGCAAAAGGTGGGATGTTTGCCCCTGTACAAAGGGAAATGATATTTTATGGGGGTTCAGAGGGAGAGGGAGGATCCACTTGAACCAGGTTGTTGTCTTGAACCACAAAGAATCTTGTCCCAGATGGGGGGTGGAAGTCAGGAGTCAGCTGATGAAGATGGGATCTGTAGTTCTGGGTCAGGCATTCTCAAAAGAGAATGTATTACAACAGAAGAGAATATATATATGTATATGTATGTATGTATGTATGTGTGTGTGTGTATATCTATATCTATATCTATATATCTATCTATATCTATCTATATCTATCTATCTATCTATCTATCTATCTATCTATCTATCTATCTATCTATCTATATGTAGGTCTCTAGTTGTTCGGGTTTTCTCCCGCGTAGAATTGGAGATGTCTTGGCAGAATTGGAG